AAGCTGAAATTTTGAGGTTATGTTCCCCGCCCCTATAGGACTTAAAGATTTCAAATTCAGCCCCCGTGGGTTCGTGATTCCCGCGTACGGTCCCCCAAGAGTTCCTGGCGCGAAAATCGCTAGCTCGGGAACCAAGAAAGTGGGAGGCTGAAATTTTCAGGAAATGTTCCCAACTCATCTACAACTTCAGTTTATCAAATTCAGCCTCTAAATGTTCCCAACTCATCTACAACTTCAATTTATCAAATTCAGCCCCCCGCCATGCGTGGTTGCCACGTAGGCCCCGTGAAAATTTTTGGCGGGAAAATGAATAACTCCAGAGCCAGGGAAGTGGGAGGCTGAAATTTTCAGGAAATGTTCCCAACTCATCTACAACTTCAGTTTATCAAATTCAGCCTCTAAATGTTCCCAACTCATCTATAACTTCAATTTATCAAATTCAGCCCCCCACCATGCGTGGTTGCCACGTACGGCCCCGTGAAAATTTTTGGCGGGAAAATGAATAACTCCAGAACCAGGGAAGCTGGGAGGCTGGAATTTTCAGGAAATGTTCCAAACTCATCTACAACTTGAATTTATCAAATTCAGCCCCCCGTTATGCGTGGTGGCTACGCACGGCCCCGTGAAATTTTTTGGCTGCAATTTGGGTAACTCGAGAACTAAGAAAGCTGAGAACCTGGGATTTTAAGAGAATGTTCCTTGTCCAACTGGATAATTAAGTTCCCGAAATTAAGTTAATTAAGTGGATAGTTAAGTTCCCGAAATTCGAGGACCAGTATGTATAAGAGGTTTTTAGCTAGCGGAATTTCGAGTAATCATATTTAAGCACGAAACACTGCAAAAACGCATGATCGCACGGGGCCCCCCAGTGCGCGTCGCCAATGATTTTTCATATGTTCCGATGTGTTCAAAGTATCAAAGCGAAAAAAATGTTCATATTTTTCAAATGTGAAAAATATTTTTTCCACATATGCAAAAAATAAAATGTATTAATGTAGAAAAAAGCCTGCCACAAGGGATGCCAAAAATGCCGAAAAAACGGTGGCAAAGATTCGGGGGGAGCTGAAACCGCACAAATTACGAAGAATTACTCCACTGGCTCCTAGACTATAGCATAGCCGCTGAGAAAGTTTCAGAATTCTTGCTGGGCAACAACTGGACAATGTTACCGGAGATAATGACCCCTAGATGGGCAATAAATTTTGTTTTTTCCAAAGCTTGTAATATTAGCTCGAGGAGATTTATGCAAAATCAGTCTCTGGATGACTTATTTAGGAGTAAGATTAGTCTTTCGGATGAATTATGCAGGCCTGAGTAGTGCAATTTTTGAACTTTTTTCTTCTAAATTTTTCATTAGTTTTAAATTTTCAAACAAAAAGTTTTAAAATTTTAAATTTCTAAATATTGTTTCAAATCGCAAGTAAATAATTGGTAAAAAATGTTTTACAATACCAAAAAATAACCTTGTATTTATCGAATGTTGTTCTATGACCACATACTGTGCATGTAATTGTCGTATCCCGAAATGAGATGCATGCTGTATCAAACGAATAACAGTGAAGACATTTCGTCCTTATATCTCCCAAATATGGCTAAACATCAAACTTCCATCAGTTTTCGGCAAGAAAAATCTCATAACCTCATATTTTTGCCTGTAGGATTGTACACCGAAACATTAAACATTAATAAACATTAAAAGCATTCCCGACACAGTATAATTCCC